GTTAATAATGCCTTTGTCAGACAAAGCTACTGAGGCTTGAAGAGTTTAAGTAACTTGCCCAAGATCAAACAGTCAATGAACTTACAAGAATTTAAAATTCATTTTCTACCTGGTTCCAAAGTTCTTTCTCTTAAACTGAATCTCCTCTGCAGTCCTGCCCCACTCTGAGGGTGAACTGGCTTTTTATGCCACCACCACTACCATATTCAGATAAAAAGCTAGGGTCGGTGAGCATTCCATTAAAGTTTCTCATTTGCTAATCCATTTTTCTGAGAACTTTTACAGAACTTTGTGAATTGGTTGTGTACACACACACACTTATTTTGCATGACTAACACCAATTTCGCATATATAATTTTTTTTTGTCATTTTGGGGATAATCCACTCAAACAGAACACGTTTTTATTTATTTTGTTGTAATTTATATTTACACATCTAAAAAATACTATTTATTTAAGGACTTAGTGAAGAGTGGTGAAAAGACTTTGCAAGAAATAACAAATCTAATAGACAAGCTGCATGAAAGGGATGAAAAAATCGAGCATATCGGTACTTGGCTCCATGGGAATCTTGGAGAGCTTCGTTCTCTTATGGAACAGGAATCACAAATGGACCTCTGTCTTGGTAAGCAATCACTTAGAGCTTTTGGTAACATAGCTTCCTGCTATTTTACTGTGGCTAGTTACATCAAAAGAAGAAAAAAAATTTGCCAACTAAATAACTTAGTTATCCCTACTAACTCATCCCCGATGTCACAAACATTTAACTAAACATTGATGCTCACTTGTGGGTGGCACGCAGTAGTGCAGCAGTGCTGGCCAATTGTCCCGTCCGCCTAAGAGAATTTCCCTCTTAGCTAAATCTTAATTTCCTTATGATTCTAAAAACTCTTATTTTAAACATTCTTCCAGAGAAGCCTTTTTAAACTCTTTCACATACTTCCTTGTCTTATAAACAGATGAAATTGAACGTAATTTTACCTTTTCCTCCTGAACTGAGTTTAGCATTAAAAACAGCAACTGTTGCCTTCTCTGAAAATCTAGTGGTGCCTTCTGGGGCTTCTGAGATGGTAACATGGCAGGTCTAACATGCTTGCCTCAGGAGCAAGGGGCCTAATCTATCCAGAGGCATATCAACTTCATCCTCAGTCCCTACAACAACGTTATGTTATACACGGCCACAAAACTCTGTCCAGATTAGGGCTGCAGTGAAAAACGGAGGTGAATCCTTGCACAGGTACAGGCCACAGGTGCCAGTGGTTGAACCACTTGGGAAAGTGGGATGATGGGTAGAGTGAGCTAGGGAAAAGGAAGGGACAAAGGGTGTCGAGGAGAGACAGACCGATGAAAAAAATGGTATCTAGCAAGCGTACAGATCTATTAGAGCTTATTAAGGTTTAATTTTAGAAAGCATAATCATTAGATAGCAATTTTAAAGGTAGATTGTAGAAAGTAAAATGGGATAAAATAAAAGTAAATGGGGGAAAGTGATAGGATTAAAAACATTCTAGTATTTGCTAAAACCTGTTCTGGGTGTATTACTTAACAGAAGAAATAGTGTTTCAGCAGCCAATGAAGAATTTTGTGGGTAAGTCCTCTCGTCAGCTGAGAAGCTGCTTCGATGGTCCTCTGTGAGCCTGGTGGTACTATGTGTGTAAGTGCACGAGTGATCTCTGGTGGCCCTTGCTTCTCTTTGCATTCTCTTTGCCAGGCCTGGACATCCCCTTAAACTGTTGATGGAACAGAATTTTAAGCGCTAAATCATCTCTAAGTGTCAGCTGCATTGTTTTCACACGAGTGAATCTTCAATCTCCTAATACCGACACATTGGGGATTAGGTTTCAGCATATGAATTCTGGGGGGACACACTCATTTAGACCATAGTGGCCACTGTCACTTGCTTTTGGCAGAGACTCAAAGGCAGGAAGGGGAGTGGCAAGGTTTTATAGTGGCAAAAAGGGAAAGCTTCAGATGAGCTCTGACTGGAGGGTGTCGGCCTGGGGAAGCTGGTGGCAGACTAACTAGGAGCTGCACATCCTGCGTGGTGGATTGGTAAGCATATCTGGCTTTCTCTGGTCAGTCCTGAGTTAGCAGCTGGCAGTCATTCACCAAGTCCTGACCATTCTGGGCCCACTGCTGCAGAGGTTGTGGGTCAGAGTTCTGTTGTCATGTATGCTCTGGCTATTGTCAGTTTGTATATTCAGTCTCTCAACAGAGAAAAAAAGTCTTTCAACTTTTCCTTTCATTTTCAATTTAAAATGTATTCATAATCGAGCAATGGTTGCTTTGAATAAAAACAAACCCAAATAAAAATAAATAGGACAATCCAGTAAATGTGCTATTCATTTTTATTCCATCCAAATGGTATAGTTACTTAATTAAAATTTAAGTTCATTTGCTAGGCAGTCAGTATAAGTACATTTATGATTCTTGATTGAGATAACTGCATTTTCATTTGAAATGTTGCAAGTATGAAAAGTATAAACAATCACACACATATACACACACACATACACCCCTATGTATCTGTATATCCACCATCGAGCATTGTTGTATCTTAACATTTTGCCCTATTTACTCAGGGTATTTTCCCCCCAAGAAATAGAATGTGACAGATGCGATCAAAGTCCCCTACCTATTACTCTTCATTTCCATTTCCCTGTGTCCTTCCCTCTCTCATTCCCCAAAAGGTTAAATAGGGTCTTTGTGGAGGGTTCTCCATCCCTGCTCCCTGCTGGAAGCTCGAGGCCTTCCCTGTTGACACCCCCTCCTAGTGGTGGATACACACACCCTGCCTCCTTTCCCCACCCCACTGCAGACCAAGCAAGTGCCCATTCTCACAGCTCAGGATTTCACTCCCTCTCTGTTCGGGCCTTGTGGTTTCCCTTGCTTGCGTGCACGTTCAGCTCTGCATTGAAAAGGAAATTTGTTTTCTCTCCTTCTGCACTTTTAGGCATATTATAATACAAGGAGGATGTTCAGACTATCTAGTCTACTCATTTTTTCCAGAAACCAAAGTTAGTAAATCAATCTTCAGTTGAAAATATTTACTATTAGCAATAATTGTGCTTTAAGCTGAGCCTGCTGTGTTATGTGCTATCACCACCATATGCCTCTGCCTAGGAACACTCTTCCCTCTGCTAGTCACAGGGTTGGCTTTTTATGGTTCTTCAGAGACTGAAAATGTCGCTTCTTCATAGACACCTTGCAAGAACCTCCAATCCAAATTGTGTCCTCCTCCATTATTCTTTATCATAGGACAGTATTTATTTCCTTATGAATACTTATGACAAATGGTAATTATTTTGTTTACTTATTTTTTTTCTGTAAGCTCCATGAAAGCAGGGACCATTTTGATTGTGCATCATTTATTTCCAGTGCATAGCACAGGACCTCGCACATAATACCATACTCAATACTCAAAACAGACAGTGAACACTAGTAAAGAGAATGAATGAATATTTACTTTCCAGACTTTCCCATTTGTACAGTCCAGCAAGATATCTTCTTCCCCTTTAAGTGACAGAGTGGCTGGATCTAGAATCCAGCCCCAGAGCTCACTCAGTTCTGGCAGATAAACCAGAGTAGGGTTAATTTGTCTCCTGACCACATGAAGCACTCTCCTACTTCCCCAACTATGGCTGAAGGCTGCTACATCAAGAATTGGCTATAATGTTGACTCTGGATCATAGATTCTAGATTCTAGAGCAGCCAATGATCTCCAAGTGGAGTGTGATGATTAATCCACACGGCGGAAGCAAATATTAAAAATTCTGTTTATATTCAATTTTTTGTCATCCTTTTAAATTTCTACTTTGTCTATGTTTAATATTTTACATCTCTCTATATAATTTACAAATGGATAAATAAATTGGGGCACATGACATAGGTGGAGGATCAAAGGAGTGTGGAGACCACTGACCTAGATCTCCCATTATTAAAATTTATATTTAAGCTGTCATTAACATAACCAAACCACTGACCTTAAGGAAAGTTTATATATGGATAAGAACTGTAGCAAAATTGAAGCTTGGGGTCTTTTAGTTTTGAACTCCTCCCCATATTCTCAGTTGCTTCCCATTTTCCCAGATGTTGAGTGTTTTAAAGACTCCTGGGCAAGTCTGTTGTCTGCAGCAGAGGTCAGCATACTATGACCTGGAACCAAATCAGCTTCCCTCCCATTTTTGTAGGGCTCAGAACTAAGAATGGTTTTTATATTTTGAAATGATTAGCAAAAATATGTATTTCATGACATCATAAAATTATATGAAATTCGAATGTCCACATATAGAAGCATAGCCATGCTCATTCATTCACACATTCCCTATGGCTGCTTTTGTGCTACAATGACAGAGTAGCTGTGACAGAGACCGTGTGACATGCCAAGCCTAACATACTTACGATCTGGCCCTTTACAGAAAAATTTTGCCGAGCCCTGAACTAGAGTGTTGACACTAATGTCATGTTCTTCTTTGGTAACTTACAGAGTGGGTGCGCTTTGCTTGCAACATGACTGAGACACAAAAAAGAATGAAGGCTAGCTTTTTTGTTCTAGACCACACAATGATGAACAAACTGTTACACAATGACCAACTGAGAAAAGTAAAATTTTCACTGAAAATGAAGTCACTATTATAAAATATAATAAAAAGATACATATTACTATATATTGTAAATATATATTATTATATACATTATTGCTGAAAATATATTTTTGATCCATAGATTATTGACTAGAAGAATTTCAATTAAAAAATCAGTATTTTTGCGGCCACTGAAGTGTTGCTAATTAGGCATACTGATACATGAAATTTCTTCTGTTTTCTAGGTTCCATCCCATGTTTCACTGTTAATGCTAACTTGCTTTCAACAAGTATTCAGTGAGTGCGTGTTCTGTGCCAAGCAGCACGTTAGACACTTGGGTTACAATGGTGAATGAAACAGATACAGTTTAAGCCCAAATGGAACTCATGGTCTAGCAAAGAAGTAGGCAAACTTTTCCTGTAAAAGGTCAGATAAATATTTTTTGCTTTGCCAACCATAAGGTCTCTGCAGCAACTACTCAGTTCTGCCGTTGCAGAATTGCTTCTACTTGCCCATCCTTGGTGTAGTGGGAGAATCAAGTACCATACAAATGTATATAAAATTCCAAAATATACCGAAGGTAGGGCATAAGAGAGAACCTAAGACGGAGACTTAACCTGGTGAAGGAATCAGGGGCGTGATCTCTGAAGAACTCAGCTGAGATCTGAAGGAAGGTTTCTGGCTTCCCATAGCTCTACTTATTTCTGCTCCTGGAGCACTGGCTCCAAGTGGGGTTCGGAGCAATGGGCTCCAATCCCAGCCCTACTGCTTCATGTTATTTAACCTACAACTCCTCAGTTTCCCCAGTTGTAAAATATCGGTGATAACTAAGGGGTTATAAAACACCAGATCCCTGAAATCTACCACCCTCCTGGGGAGGTGATAGTAAAGTCTGGCCTCTTGAATGACTTGGCCATCTCTGAGCCACCTGCAATCTCCTAGCTTTTGAATGTTCCCTATAGAATTGCTTCTCTCACAAAAAGACTTCTCTTGGAGATACCCTTAATCTCTTCCAGCTAAACAGCTCTCTCCTATCCACTTTTGGACTGAGTGCATCACTGCAGCTCTGCTGTTCCTGCCCTCTTCATGATCTCTGTACTAGTTTCAATAACATATTGAGCCTGGCCCTGGGGCAGATTTGCAGTGACAAAGTTGAATAAGATCCAGTCCCTGAACCTTAAAATCACACACCTTGTGAAAAAAAGACACGTGAAGAGATGATTAGAATACAGTGGACTGTTTCTAGTAAGTGGCTGTGGGAGAGTAAAGCTCTAAGTCTCATTGGATGTTGAGAGTCCGCAGGGATGTCTTCCCAGAAGGAAAGCATGGAACTTTAAGTAGCATGGCTTGAGTGGAGATCTGCTGTGGTTATCAACTGACAAGAGTTCAGGAGAGGTTTGTTAGAAGCCTAAAAGCCAGACTTCACCCTGAAAACTAAGATCGTTACCTTTTGCCTTTTCTTTCTTGTAAACAAAAGGTAAATAAGTTAATTTTTAGTGTATACCTAAACCAAATAGTAACTTAGTACACATTATTTTTAAAGTATTAAGAATTTTGTTTTAAAATTCCAGAAGTCCTTGAGTATTATTCTTCCATATACTTTAGGTTACAGATAAATAATTCGTGTATTAACCAAATATCTTAACTTGATATGTGCTCTACAGAAGACTCTTTTTAGGCCATGAGATGTTCTAAAGAAAAGGGAAAAAAAAATCAATTCATATAACTGTCAAAGTTATCTTTTTGTTACTGTGATGGAAAAGGACTTGATATAATTTTCTACATTTTGATCATTTAATTCTGGAAAAGAACCTACTTATAATTAAAGCAGAATCAAAACTTCAGTGAGAAATGAAATCATGTGCCCAGTAATTGTTAAAAAGTCTCCTGGAAAAATTAAGAACTAAACTAGAGAGTTTAGACTAGTGGTTCTCAAACATTAGAATCACTAGGAGTTTTTAAAAAATCCTTGTGCTCAGGCTGTACCCCAGACCAATTCAACATGAATCTCTAGGGGTGGGACCCAGGCAAGTTTTCAAAAGAACTTCTCCAGGTAGCTCCAATGTGCAAACAAATCTTGCAAACCAGTGGTTTTGGACAAATATATAACAGGATCATTGTTAAATTTAACAACTGAACCAAATTAAGAAAATATGTACTTTGACTTTTAAATGACTTATTCAGGACTGCTTAGCAAAATTATTATCATTTACTGTAGTGCTGAGAATTATGCGCTACAAGGATCCAAGTCAAAAGTAACAAGGCTGAGCTATCGCAAGTGCTGTTTTTGCATATTTTTAATCACCACGTTTTTTTTTTTTTTGTCTTTTGTCTTTTTTTCCGTGTCCGGCAACGGATCGCAACCCTCAGTGTTGCCCCCGTACCGGTCCGGG